TCCTGGCTGAACCCAGCACAGTGTACTGCAAAGCACACTTGGAGAGGGTGTCTCGGGGTGTTCACAGTGTACCTGTGAACACAGGCAGCAAATGAATGAAGAAGGGGACATGTTGTCCTCTGCCTGTCCTTTCTGGGTAAGTGGCAAATTTGTTGGGTCAATACTACAGATTGGTAGTGCACAAGTGAGAGGTCCCTTGCCTTTAATGCATAACCTGAAAAACATGCACTGAGATCATAGACACAAAGACAGTAGGGCTACATTGGCACTAGCAGACTTCTGAGGGAAGATTTTTCTATGACCTGAGTTACTTGGCTGGTGTCTGTCCTTATCTCATAACCAGTTTACTAGTAACAACACGACCAATGCTTTTTAAAGTGGCAAGTGATTTTGGGTAACTCCAGGTTTTGACTAATTAGGTAGAGACACCTTACATGCGTGTTCATCTTTCTGAAAATCAGAGTATTTCCAGAAATACCTATATGATCAGGACAAAGTATTCTTCAGCTTTGAAAATCTTGCGCTCACTTGCCATTAAGGCACTGATACCAACTGAAGTCAATAATATTGAAATGGAGCAAACTTGATGAGGATTTGTGTGTTCAATATGATCTCTTTTTTGTTTCCGTTGCTGTTACTTCAATGGTTTGTGTTGGTTTGAAAGCTTTTAGAGTGGATTCGCCGGACAATTCCTTGGCTGGAAAACAGGACCCCAGAAAAAACAATGCAGGCTATGCAGAAGAAATTGGAGGATTTCCGGGACTACCGCCGCAAACACAAGCCTCCCAAAGTCCAAGAGAAATGTCAACTGGAGATCAATTTCAACACTCTGCAGACAAAACTGAGAATCAGCAACCGGCCAGCTTTCATGCCATCAGAGGGGAAAATGGTTTCAGTAAGTAAAGGAGGCATCAGTGTTCTCTTCTCCTTTTTATCGGTGTTCGCACAAAAAATTTCAGCGTGAAGGATTGAAATGCCATTTTAAGTCATCCTCAGAAACCTAAGTTCGTTGCACTTTATCAGTACCAAGCTACTCCTTTTACATAATCCCTTTCATTCTAGAATATTGTTTTTTCTTAAGCACACTCCTGCCTCTTTGAAGGCTTTCCCCACAAGCAAATTGTCTTGAGACTGAGACGATACAGAGCTTCCTTTGGGAGTGTTATCAACAATTCTCTATCAGTGAGGCCAAATATTGTTTGTTTTAGCAAAACTCACAGTGGTTTCACTGCCATTTTGGTCATCAGACTTACGGAAACAGATACTGCTCAGTGTATATGTTTCTGGGGTTTTTTCTACTTTTTTTTAAATTAAATTGTGTTTTTTCTTATGTCAGTGAAGATAAGAACAGTCAGTACCAAGAATTCTTACCTGCTGATAAGTATTGTGAGTTGACTGTGGGTCTGAACATTTCCTGTGGAATATAGTGAACCTGTTTCTGTACTCTGTTCTGTCATTATCAAATCATCAAATCTGATAAACAGACAATTGCACTGTCTGAGAAGGGCCATTGTCCACTCCCCATATGCGGAAAATAAGGGCCCTGTCACTTCAGTTTCCGAATCGTGCCTTGGAGTTTCTGAGGGAGCTCACAAAATGCTGTGCACCACAAAAAGCGAAACAGTTTGTATTCCAGATAAAATACACACCAAATCCTCTTGACATTAATGATTTTGCTATTGTCAACTTCTGAGAGCAAAGCACGTTTATTTTGATAAGAGATAAGTATGTCAGAAAAGAACATGCACACTGTAAAGTGGGAGGTAAAAGCAATGTACTGTGAAGACACTGAATGTATAGCTATGCTTGAAAGCCATTTGTATAGGGTTTTTTTAATGAACCCACCTGAATAGGGCATGCTGTTAGGAGCAGATATCTGAACTGCAAGAATTCCTGAGCTGCCTGACAACATTTTCCTATGATTCTGTGATTTTACAAAAAGTGAACATAAAAACTTCTCTTTTTGCAGCAGAATTGTGAATTTTGGATAAAGAGATGATAGTTTCATCCTCTCTCCCATGTATTCTCTTCGCAGGATATTGCCGGCGCTTGGCAGAGACTTGAACAAGCTGAGAAAGGCTATGAAGAGTGGCTGCTGAATGAAATACGAAGACTGGAAAGACTTGAACACTTGGCTGAGAAATTCAGGCAGAAGGCTTCCACTCATGAACAGTGGGCATATGGTGAGCAGAGATGCCTTTTAACATTTTAAGTGTTTTAATGTTCAAGGTTGAAGTGTCAGCGCTACATATTTGCCAGCCAGAAACTCACTCGTAAGTAGTATGGACAGTTTTAGAAGCCTAAAATAATAACAGATAAAATTGCAGGTTTTGTTGACTGTAGTCATGATCCTAACTTGTCAGCGTGTTGCTAATGAAATGTCACCGTAAAAGTCATACTCTTGAGGAAAACTTAATGGCAATATTCAGCATTCGAATAGAGGCCATTGCTGCTAATGCATTCCTATGTATTTGTACAGCAGCTCTCCAACCAGCAATGCAGCGACACCCACCACTGCTTACGTGTGAAACTGGTAACAGAGTTATTCTGAGTTGATTATCATTTGGTCATCATGATGCTTGTCCACATAAACTACATGATAACCAACTCATTTTTGCTTTGCTCCATACCCTGAATTACACCCCATTTATAGTTTTGGTTTTTAATGGTAACCTAACCTTACGTGTAGTTGTAACAGCTGTAGGACCCTATACTGGCATATGCTTTTGCTGGGAACAATTAAACATAAATCTATCTGCTCTGTCATCCTACTGTTTGCCCTGACAACAGTCTTCCCGCTTCTGCCATGATTCTGGCTTTGACCAGCTGGAATCTTGTCACACTGTGAAAGTAAACCCCAGTCCATCCTGTAACTTGGTTGCTGGAGGCATACAGTGCTGTAAATGGCTGTCAAGCAGATACTAGAAGGGCAACTACAGTGTCTGTCAGCCCTGAGAGCCTATTTTCTGACCATAAACTGCTCATGGTGACACGTTAGGGCTGTGATACAGGGAAAACTTCACATTAGCTGGTATATAGCAAGTGAGCAATAGTCCCCTCTGGCTCTAGGATTTACAGAGCTGTGCAATGCCATGTGGCGAGCTGCAGCTGTAGGGGCTGTCTCTACAGATTCAGTTGTGCAACACGTGAGCTACTGTGGAGTAGTGTTCAGCCTCTGATTTTGTCTTTGCTTCTCTGGCCTTTTGTAAATAGGTTGGCATTTCCTACCTAAAATTCAGTGTTTGATACAAGAGGCAACCACCCATCTCAAACATTTTTTTTTCAAGTGCTGAAATGAATCATGGATTTAAGGCAGAACATGTAAAAGAATTACGGATCATTAGTAAGACTGAAGCTGAGTGTAGCAGTGTGGTTCCTGGTTTTGTAAGTCTACTCTACAAGGGATTTATCACAATAGTTTAGAGCCCCAGATTTTGCCAATACACCATTTTGATGCCAGTTTCTCAAGCAATGCAATATTCTGTATTGTAGACCACTATAAACAGCCTATGCAAAAGCCAAGGAAATAGAGAGATCTTTAAAAGAAATACATATTTCTAATTAACACGTTCGGCTGACAATTTGCTACTGATTTCAGTGGGGGTGGGACTTCATCTCATACATGTGATTTTCACCATGCCTCAGTTTAAAAAGGTGACAAAATTTTCAATTTTTCTAACCAATAAATTAGTAAAAAATGACTAATAATTAAATTTCCTCTTTCAGGCAAAGAGCAGATCTTACTTCAGAAGGATTATGAATCTGCTTCTCTGACAGAAGTCCGCGCCATGTTAAGGAAACATGAAGCTTTTGAGAGCGATTTGGCTGCACACCAGGACAGGGTGGAACAGATCGCTGCCATTGCCCAGGAGCTGAAGTATGTTCCATTTAAAGGCTTGCAGCTGCTGACATTTAACTTTGCGATAAACTCTTTCCAATGAATTTGATAGTGTCATAGGTACCAACGTAAGAATTCCAGAGATAGCTTCATAAGTATATTATCTGAGCTGGTCACTGAGACCTTTCCCTCATCTTCCCCTTACTCCCAACCAAATATAGACGTTCAACTGACCAAAATAATCTGAAAACATTTTAAAATTGACTTAACGCTAATTTTTTAGCATTAGCTCGACTGAGGAGTCCATTGTGTATTGATGGGAATCCTGGAGGTGTTAATTTCTCAGTTCATACAGTCTGCTGAGCAGTTCTGGCTATGAGTTGTTTAACTTCGAAAATAATTTCACTCACGCAAATTACAGATAAAGTTTCTTCACTTTACAATTGAGTATTTTTCCACAGGTGTATTGTTCCTTTTAAAAGGCTTCACATCCCTAAATCATCTCTATAGCAGTGGGTAACGCACTGATTTTTCTGATGATTTAACTGACTCTAGTATATTTATTTTCACAATCTGTATGTATTATATTTGGAAGTGCCATTGTCTCCATTTTACAGAAAGGGCGGTGGAGCATATGGACACTAAATAACTTGCTCAGGGTCACACAAGCAATCAAGCACACAAGCCCTGCTATAGAAGAGCAGGAGTTTTCACCCACAGTTCCATCAACTTAGCTTGCTCACTCAGCATACCACGCCCACAGAAAACACAGCCAAAGCTGGGAACAATTCTGCAACACATTTCGTCTACATCTGTGCTGTTGACATCAGCTACATAGGTCAGGGATGTGACAAGTGAAGGTCCCCCACTAACAGGCACCCTTATGGCAGCAAAGTCCTGCGTGTTGTTGCAGTTACTCTGGCTAAACTCTGTCTTTATCCACAGAGCTTGCTTTTGTTTGTGGGAAGGCTGCTAATTCAGCTGTGTTCTGCCAGCAAAGCTCTGCCCACACTGATCGGACCGTACTGTTACATGCTGATGATGGTCACTGCTCTGGGAAAGTCATCTTGATGTGCACACCAAGCTAAGCGCATTTGATTTCATGACCTTAAGTTGCTAATTGCATTGGTTTTGTACTGTGAATCAGTGGTGCCACTCCTGATCTTAGCAATTTGGCACATACTTAAATTCACTGCTCACCTGCAGTATAAATCTGAAAAGCCAGCGAGAACAAATGTGCGGTAGCGGTCGAAACAGGAGCCAAGATCAAAATTCTCAGATTCCTGCCCTTGGCTTCAGCTCTCCTTCCTGAATAGGCAAAAGAATTACTACTCAAAAATCAAGTGTTTAAAAACATGCTCTCTTTTCACTTGGTGAAGGACCATAACTCATAAACAGCTCCACATCCATCAGCAGTTTAAAAATCAGAGAGTTGTCTGAAAATGTAGTTCATACCTGATAGCAGCAGCACTTACAGTAATTGTGTAATTCAGATGTATTTAGAATAAAAATCCTATTTTCAAGATCATTTAACGGAGGAAAAGTAAAGCACAGTGGGAAGAGTAAGTACTGGTTTTCAGTTAGAGTGAAAGAAGTCTGAAAAACACAGAATGAAGGTTTCACTGAGTATATGAGCTTATGGACCACCTTCTGGCACACCTTGATCTCTGTTGTGGAGTTATTTGCTGCTCCTTATACTAAATAAAGTTTCTGAAACACCTCATCATTGTTAATTCAGCCTCAGCTTTACAAGCAATGAGAAACTTCAGGAATGTAGTATACATAGCACAGCATCTGCTTACCAGTGCTTTGAACCCTGTGTCCTTTACCTCTGGTGAGGCCAATGAACACTGTATCCTGTCTATTTTAGGGTTGTCTCTTCTCAGTTGTTTCAGTAATTTGCTGTGTGAGGTTAAATGAGTTATTTGTGGCCGGGGCCACAAAGGTGCTGAAAACCTACCGCTTTTAGAGATGCTCGGCTCTGACTTCTCTACTCCATACAATGGGGCTATCGGAGCCCACTTTTTCACTGCGACTCCGTAGCTCAGCTAGCTTCATTCCCTTAGAGAACAGTGAACGAAAGGCCATAAAGGTCAGGTTTTATTATTAGCTGCAAGCAAATGGTCAGCTTCTATTTAAACATTGATTTTAATTATTTATACATAATTCCTCACACAATGAAATTTTGAAGGAAAATGCTAATTTCTCCATTTGTATTTTTAAAGAAGGATTGACTGATGTCTGGATGCCAGGAGATGTGCACTGGCACCTGACACGAAGCCTGCTGAAGTCAATGTGTGTATTTTTTTTGGTCACTGGATCAGGACCTTAAAGAAATCATCATCATCTGTGTCTAAATTCCCAGTCACCACACCTGCACATTTTGTTCTAGTCTTTTGGCTGCCTAATGTTGCTGTTTCAAAGGAGAACAATTGCTGTGTGACAGTGAACTCTACCCGTTACGGTTTTGTGCCTGTTCTGGTATTTTCTGCTGCAGCAGCTCAGCCCACTCTGTTCTTCAGCGCAAACCTGCTGTAAGTTGGTGGATTGGTGCTGTTTAGGTAAAGGATTTGACTGTGTGTGCAAGCAGGTGATTCCAGCCAGGGTGCTGCTATAAAATTACTGTGTTTCAGCCTGTACAGGCTTAGATATTCCCGTGCAATGAGGCATGACAAAGCTTGGATAGGGCTATGTACAAAGCTGGAAAAAGTAAGGCATTTCTAAAATGGGATTTGCCATCTATGATCTAGCAAATGCGAGACAGAACTTGAGTGAGCTGTACTAAGAAATGATCTTGTGTGCTCATTTTGGTGTTTTCAATCATCAAGATAAAATTTTTGGAATGTCATTTCTTGCATATCCATCACTTCTAGTATAGTAACATTTTCAGCCAAGAAAACCACTATCTGTAACCCTGTTTTGGAGAGTCTTTTTGCTTCTGTAAACCTGGGCTCAAATTGTGCTTACGTGCATGATTAACATGAGCCTGGTTCTGAAGCAGTGCTAAAGCGTGTGGCTCAGCAGGTTATTCTGGTGACATTATCCCTGTTCCTAAAGTGAGCTCATACGTAAGTGCTTCTCTGGATCAGGAAAAAAAAAAGACTAAATTTTTAGTTCTTTACAGATAAGATTGAGTTACTTGAAAGATCAATAGGAATAGCTTAATGGTTTTTAAATTCCCAAGGCTGTAGATTTCAAATAACCAAACGAATAGAAATGACTGTTCAGAGCGGAAGAGAAGCAGATCTGTAACGCGTGTGCAGCAGTACTTTGTGTATGCACGATAGGCAAAACTTCTTTTTACAAAATGGGAAATCTAATCTCATCACAGCTTCGGTGTTGAGAGATACAAATTTAATAGGACAAGAAGTGTAAACATGTGTTTTATTTCCAAGTAAATAATCTCCTTTGAGTTGTTATTTCTTCCTCTGTTCCTGCTTTGAGCAGAAAAATGTTCTTTGACACATACAATACACTTACTTGGAGTAAACTACAGCAGACCCAGAAAAGCAGTGGAGCTACACCGTTTAATGCCCCTTGGCGATCTAACTTATGATTTTTGACCCACAGATGCCCTTTTTAAAAGTTGTTTTGATGATATTATTCTCCTACCTATTTGTCCACAGCGCATATCCCCAGAAGAAATAGGATAGCAGAGATCTTACAGGGAATGACTGAACCTCCCTGGCAGAGCTGGTGGAGGAATGTTGCACATTACCCTCCAGGATTTTGACCAGGGCTGGTACAATCAGTCCCTCGCTTTCATGGAAGGACACCTGCCCTTATCCTAATCGACAAAAGGAGATAAGTGATCCACTGAAGCAAAAATAAAATTTTCAGTACTTTCAGGGATGTGAACTGGAGCATCTGGAAAAATACCCTGTCCATATTCTGGTATATTAGATTTGATATGCAAAGAGAGACCAGAATACAAATCTCCACATCCCATCCACTTAGTGAGCTCACGACTCACACAGGAACATCATCTAATAATCTCAGTATAATGAAAAAAACCCCAACTTCCAGCCAAAAACTCATAGCAGCAAAATGTATCACAGCCTGTTTTATCCAAAACTCCATGCTTCTGACTAAACATAATTTAACAGGTGGATGGCTTTTGTGGCATCCCTTGAAGGCTAACAGAATGCTTGCTCCAAAGGAGGAACTAGGTTTTTGAGTTAAGGAGCCTGTATATAGGGTGACTTGCTGGCTTTTTTCTCCTTACATGTAGCAGTTCTACTTTAACAATTTCGGGTTGGTTTTGTTACTGTTTAAAGTTGTTCTGGCAATTTGTTTCCACTTGTTGTACCATTCTTCACTTTCAAGAGTTGATTGATTGCAGCAAATCTGAAGCTTCTTTTAAACAGAATGGTCCACATATTTCTCAACTTCATCCTGAAAGAGATTGCTCTGACTGAGCTTAGAGAAGGAAGCACGAACCCCTGGCCTGCAGCGCAGCTTCGCAGTGGAAAGCTACCTCTGCTCTCACTTTTTCCTCTGTGATTCCGAGATAGTGGTGGAGTGATCTGTACCTTCCTCTTGCCAACTGCCTAGAGAAGAATGCTCAAAAGAAGGGAACAAATTCTATCTGCATTTAATGTCTTGTTCAAGCCTTAAAGTAAATCTTAGCTTCATATCGCCACGCTGTCACATGAGCACGGTCTCTGCAAGGTTTAGTACTGGGCAGGGTATCCTCAAGGAACATCCAAGAGCTAAATTAAATGGATGATCATGCACGAACAAAAGAGAGCTCCAAAGTGCCAAATACACTTCTTTTTTTTTTCATTATGGTCATGGTGGCTGCTGCAGAACCAAGGTGATTATATGCCACGAAATCAAGAATTCAGTTTGAGCTAGACTTGGTGCAGAATCTCAGGGAAGAGCCTTAAAAAGTTATTCCAGTCTCAGGCAGAATAGGAAGTTGCTTTCTGTCGGGATAATACAAGCCTATTAAACAGGGGAGAAAGCAGTGCTAACTGGTACGTCGTTGGTGGGTGCACTGATTCATGCCTGTGACATTCCTGGGTCTGGAGATCCCGTTCTCTGAACCAGCCAGTTCTGGGATGTAGCTCTGTGAGGAGTTCCTGGAGAGGAAGCTGAAAATTGTTCTCTGTGGCCCAGATCTGGGCAGCCCCTATTAGTATTGCCAGGCCTGTGAGAGAGATCGTGCTTTGAATGCAAGCTGAGGACTGTTTCTCGGTTAAATCATTTCTGAGCATATGAGGCTGGAAAGGATCATTGGATTGTTTAAAACAAAACATGTATTTTAGGCCAATTAATTTAAAACTGTACCAGTCTTCAGAAACTTGATAAAGCCCCAGACTGAAGCATTTTGGTCTTCAGGAGATCGAGTTGCATGTACCACAGGAATAGCTGAGACAAAGATGGTTAGACACCTTAATTGTCTTTAATACCTGGATGTCGCAGACGGATACTGGCTTTTTCTCACAACACAGGAAGTTGATCCTGTTCTTGTGCTTCTTGGAGTGCGGAATGTCTAGATCACATGTCTGTACTGTAGCACTTGCTTACCTGGAGGAGAAATATTTTGAAATAGAGGGGAAGAATTACTGAGGGCCAGTGGAAGCGTGTGGACAATGCAACTGCTCCTGCCCTTCAGAAAGTCACACAGATTTTTGTCTTCACTCTTTCTTAGTGAACTGGACTACCATGATGCTGCAAGTGTCAATGATAGATGCCAAAAGATATGTGACCAATGGGACAGCCTGGGAACACTTACTCAGAAAAGGAGAGAGGCACTGGAGGTAACCCACATCACAATGATCGGCAGCTCAGCTGAGGCAGGGAGTGGGGAATGAACCATTTGTTTCAGATCTGGAAACAGTGCCATTGAGCATCCGCTTTGGAATCCAAACAGCGATAAACCCTTTCCTCAGATCTCCGTTTCATTTTGGTGCGGTTTCATTTGCAAACAGATTGAATTGCTCGGAGCAGACTTGACAGCACTTGGCTGCCAAGGACAGTTCTAAAGCAGCCACAAATGGCACGTGGTGTATTGCACCACTCTTTGGGAATTTGATGTCCAGCAAGGATAACAGAATCCATACCTTTTCATAGCTGTCTGGGCTTAATCAGGCAGGGTACAGAATACTGGCCAGCACTAGGTTATTTTTTGGTAGTGAGTGCCAAGATACTTTCCAAAACCTTGTTCCTTAAGAAAGAAGGAAGACACGTACATGTATGCCAAGGTGGAAAATATGGTCTAACTCTTCCTTTTTATGCTTACAAGAAATTAGTGAAGCAAGATTAGCAGATTTCAACTGATTTGCAGATCACAATAACAAAAATACTTAAAATATCAGTAGTGAAAAAGTGATTTCACCTGTTATCCTTCAAAGGCATATGCCCTTTTTAACATGTTGGATACGAGAGCACCTGTACTGTAATTAGTCCTGTTGCTTTGAGTGAGAATCCTTAAATCAGATGGTGAAATCAGTCAACAATACAGTCAATTGCTTTTGAAAAGAGGAGGCATGACTTTCCATGGGGCTGTGTGTGTGTGTGGAGTTAGGTCTCACCCTAGTAACTAAGGAATGTACCTTTCCAATCTGTACAGAGGACGGAGAAATTGCTCGAAACAATTGATCAGCTTCACCTGGAGTTTGCCAAAAGAGCTGCTCCTTTCAACAACTGGATGGAAGGTGCTATGGAAGACCTACAGGACATGTTTATTGTTCATAGCATAGAGGAAATTCAGGTAAATGCCTGTCGGGTTTTTAACCTACAGTCATGGAGAAAACAAGAAAGGAAGCTGTAGCTTCTTGCAGAGCAGAACACATGTAAGAAAAAAAAAACATACCTGTCTTGAGATTTTCTTTGTGATTGGCAGTGTTTGCTGTATTGTAAATGGGGTTCTTCATGGGCATGGAAGCATATTCCAGAGGTCGTGGAAGAAGAGATTGTCCTGACCAGTCAGTGAGAGCTGTTCCATGAATGTATCTGCATTATTTCCTGTATCTACAGATATGTAGACAGGGTATTTGAGAGGCTGAGAGAGGAGCTGTGCTTACTGACAGCAGATCTTCCACATGTTGGAAGAAACATCAGTTTTCATGCTTTCCCTTTCTGTTTCTGATTTTAGAGCTTAATCTCTGCACATGATCAATTTAAAGCTACTTTGCCAGAGGCAGATGGTGAAAGACAGGCCATACTGTCAATCCAGAACGAAGTTGAAAAAGTTATTCAGAGCTACAGCATGAGAATAAGCGCAAGCAATCCTTACAGCACTGTTACTGTGGAAGAGATTCGTAGCAAGTGGGAAAAGGTAATGTTTGCTAAATACATAAAGGACATGGTAATGCAGTATTCTAGTTTAGGAATGCTGAGAATATTCAGAGAACTTTACAATAAATATGTAAATTATTCTAGAACAGATGCCAGAATGAAGTTTCTATGCTGTCTTAGGCTCTCCTTTATGCTTGTTAGGCTTGCTTCACAATATCCCTTGCTCCCATCATTCAGTATTGCCTGTGTCCTTTTTGGCAGGCAAGAGAAACGTGCCGGGGCTTGTGCAGAGCCCAGTGCCTGACCTGAGGATGGGCCAGGAGGTGCTGGGAAAAGAACAGAAAATGACTGTATTCTTTCTCTCAGTAAAAACAGTAGTTCCTGCGTTCTACCCACCTGCTGTTTTTCACAGATGTAAAAAAATTAGCGTCTTTGAGACCATTATGTTCTGTCCAATTAGAATTAAATTGGCAATTACCTTAAATTACTGGGGAGGGATTAAAGAGAGGCTCCTAGAGCAATCACACTAACTTCATTCCATTAGGAACCAAGACAGGTAATATGCTGAAGGTAAATGATTGTGTAGAAGGTCCAAATTTCCCAAATACATAAGTTTACATGGACAAGAAGGCATCCTCAATGGGTTATAAAAACCAAGCAATAAGGACTAAATTCAGAATCTCCCAGGGCAATCCAGAAGGGTGAGCCAAAAAGTGTTTGCAATGTATTAGAGACCTCCAGATATACATGATGGATGGAATGTGTCTTGTGTTATCCTCTTGTAATGGCTGTGCTCCAATAAAACATTTTGCACTAACTATTCTTAGAACAATTACTTAGAGATTGAAAAACCACTTGTGTTTCAAAGGCAAACCAAAGTAACTGCTGCAATAGCAGTACAAGTTAAATAATTGTCTGGAACTTGAATCCAGTGAGAGGTGAGAATTTCTTCTCTCTCCACGTCTCTCCCGCTGGTCAGGCTGCCCAAGACCACCTTAGCAATTGCTTACGTTAGCACAGAGTTGGTAAATAAAATAGCGATCATGTTTCTGGCTTGTCCCTCTGGTATCAACCTTCAGACCAAGAAGAAAAAGTAGTGGTTGCAGACATATTTGTTGCACTTGTGTTTAAACTGTTCAGTTGTGCCTACTCACACTCAGTCCTTTCCCACTGGAACAGGTGAAGCAGCTGGTGCCTCAGAGGGATCAATCCTTGCAGGAAGAACTAGCCCGCCAGCACGCCAACGAGCGCCTGCGTCGCCAGTTTGCTGCTCAGGCCAATGTCATCGGGCCGTGGATCCAGACCAAGATGGAGGTGAGTGTCAGACCCTCATGCAGAAGCTGAGGAGGAAAGTGGTTTGTAATTTTTATCTCTGCTTTACGTATACGTACAGGATAGACACCAGCTGTTTGATCCTGAAGTATTTAGCACCTGTTAAGATAATTTTTAAAACTCTGGAAGCTCATATAAGCGGCACCTTAGATGGTGAGCAGGAGATGTAGCTTCGAAAAATCAGTCACTCAAAAATTATTATTTAGCTCCTCTTTTCTGTAAAGGAAGGATTCCAGGATCAGTGGGGTGTCAGTAGTAATTCCAGAAATAAATGTGCCACGTTTCTTGTGAAATGTGTTTTCTACAGTAAAATTTCTCCTCTCCACAGAATGAAGGTTTCATTTTATTGCTTCTTAGTATGAGATATTACAGATTTATGTGAACCTTGGTCAAATCAGTCAATCTGAAGCTTAAATTTTGTGGGGTGGGGTGGGGGGTATCTTTGTTTCTTTTGACAGGAAATTGCCCGTAGCTCTATTGAAATGACAGGGCCTTTGGAGGACCAGATGAACCAGCTGAAGCAATATGAGCACAATATCATTAATTATAAACACAACATTGACAAACTGGAGGGAGATCATCAGCTTATACAGGAAGCCCTGGTGTTTGACAACAAGCACACCAACTACACTATGGAGGTAGCCATTTACTCCCTTTTCTACCTGTTAGTTTATTCTGCCCTCTTCTGCCATGTAACTACCTTCTCTGATCTGAAGAGACTGCAACAGAGGATGGACTTGGGCAGACTTCTGATAATCTCATAAAACTTGTTTCATTTTCACTTATTTTTACTTTCAGTAAAGAAGTACCCATTTAAAAACCAGTTCCATATTTTTCTGAAGGCCATTTTTATTTTTAATGATCCTTGGTCATAATATAGAGTTAGTGGTATGGAAAAGGTATCACATAAATACTTAGAGCTGACTTTTTGCTTACTGTACTTACACTTTAAGAACATACTTGATTCTTCAATAAGTCACTATTTTCTTTCTCGTAGCACATCCGTGTTGGATGGGAGCTCCTACTTACCACCATTGCTCGAACTATCAATGAGGTTGAGACTCAGATCCTCACAAGAGATGCCAAGGGTATCACCCAGGAGCAAATGAATGACTTCAGAGCATCATTCAATCATTTTGACAGGGTACAGTACTCCCGCTTTTTCTCAACTAGCAATATTTATTGTTCCCAAAAGCAAATTTCTTTTCATTCTAAATGTAAGGCTTTTAAAAAACTGCAAAATGCAGTAGCGATGGGCAAAATAGAGCAGTTAACGATGGGCAAAATAGAGCAGTTAACAAAGAATTTCCAGCCTTATGATATCATAGCATTGTACATATATGTTAAAGATTGATTCTTCTCTTTAAACATAATGCAGAATTATAGCTCTGCTAATATGGTTGAGTGTTCAAATAACAGGCAGAACTGGATGAATCTGTGTCCTTTGGAAAATGACATGCCCCTTTATTTTAAGGCAGTGCAGCATGTTGTGTGTACTTGCCAGTATCTTATATCTCCTCACATTTAGCTGTAGTCTGGATTACAGGCTGGTGGGTTTATTTTTTCTTGGAATCACAACTTGTCCCCCTAGAAATAGATTTGCAGGGAATATAGTTGGGCCACTAATAGCTGTCAAGGAAAATCCTTTATTTTTCTGGCTGCATATGGGAAATAAGAGGCTATTTGTTTCAGTTATCTAATCATGGATGAATAAAAAAGTAGTAATGAAATCACTATTATGAAGAAACTTAACTCACTCCATCTGAGAGTTATGCTGTATTCATGGATAGAGGGTTAAAAAGACAGCTATTAATAAACAAAGTAGGCAAAATACATACAGACAGGGATCTGACATTCCCAACTGCAGAACAATCTGTACATGATTGAGCTCTGCAGGCTTTGTGCTCACATGAATCCACCTTCAAAATGCCAGTCATGTTTCAAATACTGGAAAAAAGATTACCATAATAACAACTAGGCTGTTGTCTTTTTTCCATTAAAGATTCCATTAGTTAGTAGACTGTGCATAACGCAGATTTCATAGAATCTCAGAATGGTTTG